AAAGTAAGTATGGTCAATTTTGAATTCATGGGGACTTTAAATGCTAAATATGAATTTAGGCATCACAACATTATATTATACAGTATGAAAAATGGATAATCATTGAAAAAAGAAAAAAAAATCTAGCTAACAATGCACCCTGACATCCCCAGAAATTGCACAAAGCCAATTAATCAAACTGGAACTGCAATCTCAGTGAACTCTTGCCATTTTTATGTGCAATATGCATCAGAAGGTCTGTGAATGATCCGAGGCCGAGACTAGGTTGTTGCTGACTCATCAAAAGCAAGAAAGAAAGAAGAAGAAAATCCTAATGAGACATTTACTTTAAAGTTCAAAGCAAGTTAATCGCACCAAGATATAACAGCATCTTAACACAACCGCTTCTGTTGTATAAAGGAGGAAGTATTTTATGGGGTGTGTATATGTGTATTTGCCTGTATAGTACAGTCTCTTACATCAAGCAGTGTGTGGAGGTGATGGTCCTGGAAGACGCTGTGTAGAAAGTCCAGGTCTTTCTCACTGCAGTCTGTCAGTGCATGGATCTCCTCCAAACTGTCCAGCACTTGTGACACAGCCCCTTTACATGTACACACAAACACAAGCGAGCAAACACCATGACCTTCAGAAACCCAGAAAAGCATGAACTTGATTTAAAAAGAATCAAGACTTCGTAAAGGGACAGACAGTGACACCTACTTTCTGCAGCTAGTAGTCCTGCAGGGTGGCCAGCATAGAAACAAGCAACAAATATTACTTTAACAATACAGAGATGAATTGTCATGTGATTAGAGATAGAATTCACCCACACTCTTAAGTGCACACATAAAACAATCAGTTAAAAAAGTTTGTGAATAACTACGTACAAATGCACATTCAAATGAAATTCCTAGTATATCTTAGGGGATTTGTTCAGAATCAGAACACAAATGAAGATATTTTTAATAATATCTTAATAAAATCTCTCCATTGACAGCTACGCAACTACCATGTCCTAAAGTTCATAAAAAATGAATAAAGTGATTATAAAACAAATCCAAATGAATTGAGTGGTTTAGTCCAAATTTTCTAAAGAGACAGAATCGCTTTATATGATGAACAGATTGAATCCAGCCTTTTATTCACATATAAACATTGATCATCAAACATAAACAGAAGCTAAACCGAACCTGGTTGACGCACAAGAATGAACCTCATTGGTTCTTGTGGAAGCTCAACTGTATTGTTTAACACGAGAATGAATCTTATTGGTTCTTGCGGAAGCTCAAATGTGCTGCATAACACACGAAATTAACCTCATTGGTTTTTGCACGTCAAGCAAACATGGTTGAGCTTCCGTTGATCATGTGTGTGTGTTGATGAATGTTTAAATGTGAATAGAAGCTTAAATGCAATCTGTTGAGCGTAGAAACTGATTGTGTCTTCGGAAATGTTTGACTAAACCACTCAATTCATGTGGATTAGTTTTACGATCTCTTTATGAACTTTTTGTCTTACAGATTTGGAATGACATTAGGTTGAGTAATTAATGACATAATTTTTGGGTGAACTACCCCTTTAAATTCTGTGTTAAGTGAAAAAAGGATGTAACCACAATTGGTATGAGAAATAAACAGGAAACGTGAACCAGGCTGTAAACCAAATTATTTGTGGTCAGTGTTGGGAGCTGTGAATTTACACAGTGAGGTCTGTAAGATATTTAAACAAGACACATTTCTGTGACTATTGTTAAAAAATAGAACATTTTAGTGGTGGTTGGCTATGCAAAACTCACTGGCTTAATGCAAGGTTATTGTGGGTGGTTGTTAGGGTGTTGCTAAGCAGTTTCTAGAGCTATTTGTTTAATGGCTCAAGTCATAAGAGGCCACCCTAAATCTTCATGACATTTTTACTCCTTCAACGTAACTCTGAGATTTTTCTCTGTATAGGATTCACCTCTTCTCAACAGGCAATGTGATTTGAGGAATAATTTATGCCTGTAGCGGGATAGCTTACTGAGACTTAGAGATTTGTTCAAATCCTTAAATTGTGCGCAATAATGACCATAATGCTTGTCTTAGCAAGTTCCCAACAAGCTTAATTTCTTTCTCTCTGTCATGCAGATAACATCAAAGTAACCAAAACACTGTGATAAGAGACTACAAGACCGATAATTCAGCACAAAAAAAAAAACAGTTCAGGAAGTGGGTTGGAGCTCATGTTGCACCTCTGCTGGTTGCTGTAGTACCTGATGAAGTAGGGTCCTCAGAGAAGTCAGGCAGTTCTTCAGGTGGGTCGCCATAGAAAGAGTTGAACTTGTGACTTGAGACTGCGGCGAGCACTGCACCCTGTCAAGCCGTACAGATATTGATTAACTCTGCATATTTGGCAACAACTGAATTTAGCTGACATTCCCCTCTAAACATGTATTTCCATCCTTTTACTTTCACAGTGCAATGCACATACGGTAGTACAATGTGGCTGCCCTAATTACTATTTATTTGTGGTCTTTATATTACACTGAAGAACATGCACATGAATCATGCACAAGAGCAGTTACTAAAACAATACGCAAAGACTCTAAAGTGCCAACGTCTCACTTTTAGCTTCCTCCTGGCATTGAACTTCCTCAGCTGCTCGACTGTTTCAAGAAGGTGGATTTTGTAGGCATAGCGGTCTCTCTCCTAACAGGAAACACACACACTTCAAATGGTGCTTATTCATCTCATTAAAGAAGGGCAACTTAAGTCCATAAATTATTGCAGAAACATATGTAAATCTACATGAAAAAAAAAAGAAGCATATTAAGAAAACATAATGCTGAAAAATAATATATAATTAGTGTATATATAATGCATAGTTTGTATGGTTTTAATAGTATTATTAATTAAAACAACAACAGCAACAACAACAATAATAAAACTCTGTAAGATCAGTAAGCAGATACTTCTTGAGTCATGTTGATACCTTGAGCCAGGGGTGGTTGAGAGCTTCATACACTGTGATCCTCTCGGCAGGGTCCAGCATCAGCATACGACGCACCAGGTCTTTGGCACTCTCTGAGATGTGGCCCCACTGCCGTGGGTTCATCTGCAAAGCACACGCATACATAAATGGACAAACCCAGATCCTCTGAAACCACTTTTCCACCAAAATGGTGATGGTGCCAGAATCAATGCTTAGATTCTGCCAACATGTTCACGGACAATAACGACACTTGATACTAATGGACTAAAGTGATTTATGTGTAAAAAGTAACTGACTTCAGGTTTCTTACCTCATAACCTAAGCCCTTAAACAAATCAGTATACGTTGCTGCTTTTATTAGCCTGACTTCAGCCCCTTTTGAAGGCCTTAAAGATATTTCCAGCATGTCTTGACGAACTATGCTATTAAACTACTACCTTGTATTTTCCTTTAATGATTGCTTCAAACAGGCGTTCTTTAGTGCCATAGAAGGGCAGGCAGCCACTCAGCAGGATGAAGAGAATGACACCACAGCCCCAAACATCCACAGGTTTCCCATAGGGTTCTCTTTTCACCACCTCAGGGGCCATGAAGTGCGGAGTGCCCACCCGGCCTACGGCACAGACAACATGTCACGTGTGAGCATCCATTCAAATACATACAAAAGAGCTGTCGCTGATTCAAGATTTAAACAATCAAGCAGCACAATCATGCATACACGGTCTCTCACAAACAGCAGTAGTGACAAAGAGCTCATGGATCAGGAAAAAATCATTGCCTGAATGATTTGAAATTTATGACCCAATTTATGAAGTGACACTGAATAAGAGTTATGATGATGTCCTAAATGGTTTTGTATGTTATTAAGGAACTAATATTTTAAAATTCTGATGAGTTTCAGTTCTTCAAGCCAATATAATGAAAAGAGGATGTTATTTCTTTGTGTAGTTTGTGCTTCATTTAACTTAAACTACATGCTTTTACATATGAATAATGTTGACCAGAAGCTTCTCAATGCTTCTAGTTTGCAGTGCAGGTAGTGTACACAGGAAATGTCCATGTGCTGTATGTTACAAGTTTAAACAGGGTTTTTCCAAGTACCTCCAGCCACTAATCCGGACTCTCCCAACTGTATAGCCACACCGAAGCCACCCAGTTTCACTGGAGCAGAGTTCTCCTTCGATGCCAGCAACACACAATGAGGCTGCAGTGAAAAAGAAAGAAAAGACAAAAAAGATAGTTACTCTGTTGTACAAACTACACTGGAATTGACATTAAAAGTCAAGGGAAGTGAAGACACATTGTGATAAATTAAATATGTAATGTGATTCTGAGTGATTTCTAAAAACGAATTTATCAATAAACAATGAAGAAAGAAAGAAAAGGTTTATTTAAACAAAATCCAGACAAAATATTTAACACAAGTATTGTTTCAATTGTTTGTTTTTTGTGGATTTATTCCAGCAATCTACACATAAGGATGACTGCCACATACATGTTGGATAGGTAATGGAGGATTAATTCTTCGTGGAGAAGAATTTACTTATATTTGTAAATTGACCTGTTTTGTCAATTTGAAGGAAATAAAATGAAAATAAAAAGTATGAATCATAATTTGTATTTTCATCAAAGCTCAACAAGTGGAATATCACCCATGAGTGAAACAATGTAAAAAATAAGATAATATAATCACAATTAAATATTTTAAATTGATTAAAAATCATTTCAACATTGTTCAGCAGGCCTAATATATCTGATCTGGTGGTCACGAGATCTGAGGTGGAGTTGAAATATGGTTTCAGACACGCTCTTCCCCCTTTAAAAGTACCTGCACACTTTTTTTAGTGTTTATACTGACTGGTGCACAGCTGTGCTTTGCGGTAAGTTTACCGAGGAACTAAAAAAGGAAGTTTGCAAAGACAGTTCTGAGGAGATATTAGACAGAGACATTCAACATGAAACTCAACAAGTTTTCTGATGGACAGAATTAACAAGGCAAGTTACTCTCCAATTACCTAGTACACATCAGACATTTAGTTCAATGCAAACTTTATTTAGTATTATAATGACATCTGTTTCTCTTTCTAAGATTTGATTATGCACATGCAAAGATGAGCAACAACAATCTTCAAAACTTTCCCAATGCGTCACCGACCAGCATGTCAAAAAATCCCCAGCAAGACTGCCAGATGGACACCGCCAGCTTGCAGGTTCCGCTGGCTATTTTGTACGCACTTTTCTTCCTGTTCGGGTTGGCTGGGAACCTGCTAGCTCTCTGGGTGTTTCTGCGAGTACATCCAAAGAAAAACTCTATTCGCATTTTTCTCATTAACTTGGCTCTGGCTGACTTACTTCTTGTGATATGCCTGCCTTTCCGAGTGGTGTACCATTCCAACAATGACCGGTGGGTGCTGCCGTCATTACTGTGCAGGATAGTGGGTAACATCTTTTACATGAACATGTACATTAGTATAATCTTACTGGGCTTCATAAGCGTAGACCGTTACTTGAAGTTACAGAGGGTATCCTGTAGGCGGGTGTTTCTGCAGAGCCGGTGGAGTGCACTTCTCTGCTGTGTCATCTGGACTGCGTCACTTGCTGCAGTAACGCCACTTATTGTCCAGACTCCAGAGAATGGTGAACCCCAACAGTGCTTCCAATATAAAAATCTGCAAAACTCCAAATGGAAAGCCTATTTCAACTTTGCCGTTGTGGGTATATTTTGGGTGGTCTATGGTGCGTTGGTAATCTGCTATGGAAGGATTGGAATGAAGCTCCTTACAGCCTCCAGAAAGAAACCAGATTTCCCAAACGCAGCCAAGTATAACAAAACAGCATGGAAATCCTTCTTCGTGCTCTTCCTCTTCACAATATGTTTTGTGCCCTACCACTCAGTGAGGATTTTCTATATTATGTCACAGATGGAAACTGGCATATCTTGCGACAGGATAAATGTGTTGGATAAAACCAATGAAGTAGTTCTACTACTATCTGCACTTAATAGCTGTTTGGATCCAGTTATGTACTTTTTGTTGTGTAGTTCTATTCGCAAAGTGATGCTGAAAATCATCTGTAATTGCTTCTGTCAGCAAATCACCAGAGGACTGATCAGTTCTAGTGACTCTCCTAAAGAACAGCCAAAAATCAGTGTAGTTGTGCCTAGGACAGACACCCAGGAGCAGGTCAAAACATCAAAAACAACAAAGACAGAGTATGATGTGCAATGAGAGTTCTTTAAACATATGAACCAAACATATGAGTCCAAAGGCACAGCAAAGTTAAATGAAACATAGTTATATGTTGTGAACAGTGTGAAGTGTATTTCCTTTTGTTAACCATTGAAAACACTATTTTTTATAAAAAAATAAAATAGTTATTTTAATGTATTTTACAAAAAATATCAAACAAAAAATAGTTACACTTTACAACACTTTTAAAGCATGTATTAATCTAGGTTAGTTAAATAATAATAAAAAAAATTAATTACTAAATTGAAAATATTTTTTTAAGTGAACTATTGTTCATTGTTAATTCATCTTTGTTCATTATACATTAATTCATTTTAATTTATGCAGCTTCAAATGTTACAAGTATATTAGTATTAGGGCTGTCGATTTAACGTGTTGATTGAATTAGTTATAAAAATAATTATGTGAATGATTAGCGGATTTAACTCACCCGTTCCGCCCCAGAACTAGGTCATCTTACATTTCAAACAGTTGATTGGTGACAAACATAAAGCAGAGCAACAACTCACTATATTATGTAGACTACAGGAAGTCGTTAGAATGGCCTTAAAATTCAAGATTTCAGGGCAAAAATGCCCCTGCATGAGTTTTTGTCTCAAATTTAAATCATATGATAAGCAAATAGGTAACCGTTAAGCAATATATCACACGAGTGCTGTTTTTGTCCCGAATAGCACTAGTGAAAATGTGATATTGATTTTATTCAACAGTTCAATAAATAAGAAGTTAATATTGTGTGATATTTTAGACAGAATATTGTGTTTTTGCTCACTTTTGCCAATGAAAATATTACCTAAAAAGGCAGAGAAGAACTGTTGTGCATCTCCGAACAACACACAGCAGTGTTTAGTTTCTGAATGAATCTGTGTTTTGAGCGAATCAATCGGGTGAAGCAGATTCAATGGCCCCTTCATAAAGAGAGCCATTTTACATCATTCCTGAATGAATCAGCCGTTTAGACGAATCGAATGAATGACTCAATCACTTACTTATTTAGGCATTTACCACCACCTACTGTCAGTTTTACTTTCTTATTTAGAGTTTCACTTCATGAAAAAAATATATAAATTTCATATTTTGGGGACAGTTTGCCCAAAATTTTTTTTTCTGTTTATTAACATTTACTCACCCTTGCGTCATTTCAAAACTGCATGTTTTTCTTTCTTTTGCGGAACATTAATGAAGATATTTTGAAGAATGTTGGTAATCAAACTGCTTTGGTCTATAATATATCTTAATACCAATTCAGATGCAGCTTCTGAAAAAATTATGTCCATTTTAGCCTAAAAGTTTATGTGTAATAAATTGTTGAATCAAATAAAACATGTTTCTAAAGCTACTTTTTGTAATATCTATTTGATGCTTTTTCTGATTGAACACAATAATGACTTCGAATGATCTTTTGGGGGTAGATTAGATTAATTAAACGGCACATCATGCAATTAGTTAGATTTTAAAAAAATTATCGCTTGCAGCTCTAATTAGTATATATAAAAATTAACATTAAGCTAAGATTAATGAATGATGTACAAGCATTGTTTAAGGGATAATGCACCCCCCACTTCGCGTCGGGGTCCTGATCACCCTGTCTGGGTTTATTCTGAGATAACAACCAGCTGGATGTACATTATCCCGCTTATTACATGGCTACTTGCCACATAAGTAAATAATTAGACACAAATGATTGATCTGAGTCGAAATATTTTATAAGGTCTTTAAACGCAAAGCTTCCGCGGAGAGAGCAGTTGCTAGAAAACCAAGTTCAAACTAGGACAATTAAAGGATACGTTACAGTCATACCACTTATTACACAGCATTTGGTCACATAAATAATTATGGGGATAAGAGAAATTGATATGAGATAAAACTGTTTTAAAATTGTCCCTGTTTGTTTTATCTTATAATCCAACAGTGTACAAAACAATAGTCGTAAAAAGGCAGCAGCTGCATTTGTATGAAACGAGAGCGAGTCCACGATACTGGAAGACATAATTAAATAACTGCATAAAATATAGACTTGACTGAATTTTTATATTTTATTAGCTCACCAAAAGCAAAATTTCCACAAAGAATTTTTTTTCCTAGCAAGCGTATAGCACTGCTGACTTCCGTAACCCGGATGAGCCCGTGTTATTTGTTTTCAATCCACGGAACAGGCAAGAAATCCAAAAACCAAGAGACATGAAACCAGGGAGAATGCTCGGAATTGCTGTGTAACACTAAACAGCTAACAAAACATTGCAGATAATGAATGAGAAAACCAGGCTTATATGGGGTGAGCTAAACAAGATAATGAGACAGGTGAATGTGATAATGGATGAAGAGTCCGGGCAGTGAGTTAGGGGAGATGTAGTTATTGAGGGAATGACAATAGTCTGATGTGGAGTGCCCTCTGGTGGCTCTCAAGGGCACTCAAGCTGGTGACTGTTACATGTACAGTGTTAAAACAGGAGAAACCTGAATATAGGAATAGTAATTCAATATAAATGTTGTGTGTGTGTGTGTGTATATACACATATATATATATATATATATATATATATATATATATATATTATTATTATTATTAAACTGATACAATGTCATAGACCATATCATGAGAAATGCATCAGGGGTTTAAAGAGTTAGTTCACCCAAAAATGAAAATGATGTCATTAATGACTCACCCTCATTTTGTTCCAAGCCCGTAAGACCCCCGTTCATCTTCGGAACACACTTTAAGATATTTTAGATTTAGTCCGAGAGCTTTCTGTCCCTCCATTGAAAACGTATGTACGGTATACTGTCCTTGTCCAGAAAGGAAATAGAGACATCATCAAAGTAGTCCATGTGACATCAGTGGGTTAGTTAGAATTTTTTGAAGCATCGAAAATACATTTTGGTCCAAAAATAACTAAAACTACGACTTTATTCAGCATTGTATTGTCTTCCGGTTCTGTTGTCAATCCGCGTTCAGTGACGCTGGTGACGTGTCTCTGGTGCGCCCGAGCTTCGTTTACAGTCTGAGGGAGACGCACGCTGTAAACAAAACAATCTTCGCAAACATGTCTAAGGATTTCGACACAGAGGAAGACTTGCATTTTTTTGCCCAGCCATATTTATTTGAACCCGAATACACGGACACACCAGATACACGTCAGCAGCGTCTTACGTCTAACAGCGTCACTGAAGCGGATTGACAACAGAACCGGAAGACAATACAATGCTGAATAAAGTCGTAGTTTTTGTTATTTTTGGACCAAAATGTATTTTCGATGCTTCAAAAATTCTAACTAATCCACTGATGTCACATGGACTACTTTGATGATGTCTCTATTTCCTTTCTGGACAAGGACAGTATACCGTACATTCATTTTCAATGGAGGGACAGAAAGCTCTCGGACTAAATCTAAAATATCTTAAACTGTGTTCCGAAGATGAACGGAGGTCTTACGGGCTTGGAACGACATGAGGGTGAGTCATTAATGACATAATTTTCATTTTTGGGTGAACTAACCCTTTAACATGCAGAAAGAGTAGCACAGATCTTTGGGTGCCCCCTAGTGGTAAAACACTGAGAAAAGCACAATCAGGAAGGGAGGGAAGGACTTCACAAAAAGGTGGCTTATATGTCATTACAAAGGGGTTATGCACTGTGAACAGAAAAATGCTTGCACAAAAAGATTGATAGGTTATGTCACATGGTCTTATTACAGTTATTTATTAATATTAATTATATGGTTAAAAATGATATTATATCACATATGAATAGGAAAAAACTTGACTTTTGGTGCAAACTGTGCCACAAACGATCTGCTTCCAGGATGTGGTCAGAAGAGAAGCTACAGAGTTCCTATATGTGAAGCACATTTGAAGAGCACACCCCAACCACAAACAGCTTAGAGTGCACAAGATTCAACGAGTAAAACATTATGAACATGAGTATCGGACAACGACATGCGAAGAGATAAGCATCATGTCTGTGCAAGGTGGCATAGCAATCTATCCCTCAGGAGTCAATGATTCAGACAACAATCAAAGGTACTGTATACTGATTTGCATCATTACTCAATGGAGAGGTTAAAACTCCAGTCTGAACAATAATCTATTTTTATTTCTTCAGCGTATGTCTGTTGTGGGTTTGTAGGTTAGTTAGTGTATACCCAACCAATGTTTCACAAACTCAAGAACACGGCAGGTCAGCAGATTGAATAAATTTGATTTGTTTGTGGGACAACATTTTTAGTTATTGATCACTAAAAGTAAAAAAGTATTCTGTCTCTAAACACGATGAACAGAATAAACAACAAGAATAAATCAATATCATTAATTTAAAAAGTAAAGCTTTGTTGTTCAAACGTGCATACACAGGGAAAGCAAATGGCCTTTTGTTTTACAAGTACTTGTGCTACAGTACATTTAAAACAATTAACTTCAGTTGTCCAGGTAGACAGCATGACATAATCATTGTGGGTACCAAAAAAGTATTTGAAAATTTGAAATGCCTGAATTTTCATTGATATTATATTAATATTTGTATTGATAAATGGAATACCAAATCCAGTGACATCTGCAAACAAGAGCTTTTTTGTAATCCTTTTAACCAACTGGCCACAAGATTATTTTAGTGCAAGACTCTAGTATTAGGGAGCCAATGGAAAAACATTTAGGAGCTGAAAGCGCATTTAAAAAAAATCACTGCTGGGTTTTGTGATGAAGAGACTATGAATGTATACATGGAAAAAAATGTATATATATATATATTAGACATTTTAAGTTTGTGTGTGTGTGTGTATATATATAGTTTATATCATTATGTCCCTTCCTATCAAATATTGCACTGCAAATATCAATAACAGCTATAAATTGTCAGTGGTATAAGCGGGATAATCCATATAGCTGTGCATTCTACGATTTGAATGCACTTTGCATCGGGTGGTTCTTTACTAAAATCGTTTAATGCACAGCTAGCCAAAGATTATCCCTTATATATATATTAAATATACTACCGATCAAAAGTTTGGAATCAATACGATTTTTAATGTATATATACACACACACACAGTCTGACATGTTGAGTAAAAGGGTAACTGAGCCAGGTTGCTCATTTCCATCTAGAGTTAAGAAGCTGTGAGTTGCCTGTTTTCATTTTCTTCCTCTCTTTATTTCTTTAGCACATGCAGGATACATCCTGAAGAAAGCAATGAAACCATCTTGCCTTGGCTCTATCTCTTTTTGGCTGTCCTGGGCCTTCCAACCAATGGGATAGTCTTGGTGGATCTTTGGAGATCAGAGAGGACACCCACTGTCATCTTCACTTTGAATATAATTGTGTCGGACCTGCTGATTTGCTGCAGTTTTTTCTTCAGGATAGCCTACTACAAAGAGAACATCAATTGGCTATCTGGATCTCCAGCCTGCAATGCAGTAGAGCTGATCAATTTTTCTTGCTTCTACATTAACCTCTATTGTAACATGAGCTTCCTTTTGTGGACCAGCATCAATCGCTATGCCACGGTGGTAAAACCAGGCTACGCTTTCTTTCGGATCTTTAAACGTACTCTGTCTAGTTGGATCCTCTGCTTTTCTACCTGGTCGGTTATCACCACAGTCGTCAGCACTAGCATGGGACTTAAACTGAGTCTACAAATCAACGGGACCTGCTTTGACCAAGTTGTCAACAGTTACATTCTCTATCGAGGTCAATTCAAAACTATCCACTGTGTTGGTGTTTCAGCATTCTTCTTCATTTTGTGCTTGATGTTGGTCAGCTATAGCCTGCTGGTCTTCCATCTGCAGAAGGTGAGGGGAGCTAGATTTGGACCCGGAGGAACTCTAAAGGTTCGCAGAAAGATCCTGGCCTCAGTCATAATGTTTGTCCTATGCTTCCTACCCTACCATGTGCAAAGGATCATCTTATTATTAACATCAGATAATGAAAACTGTCAAGCAAAGTACAGGATAAAAACAAGCACCATCTTCATTGCAGCTCTTAGCTGTTGCCTGCATCCCATCCTTCAGCTGGTGTTTCGTTTGCGCTGCTGTCGGGCAAATCGCAACACCAGGGTCAAACCCAAACCTGAAGCCTCCAAGAGCCTGGACACACCTCAGATACATACTATACATGTGACCGAAAACATTGAAGAACCGCAGAAAAATGGAACTGAATTAAGCCATGAACCAAAGAAAAATGAAACTGAATGAAGCCACCAACCAACACAGTTCTGAAGAATTTGGTTTGCAACTTTGCATTTCCTGTGTGACGCATTCGGCATACTGTGAAACATGCTAACCTCAGGGAGCTGTGTTATCACATTCACAACCATTACTAATGGACAAAAGCAAAACTTGCGGCCAATTTACATGGTACAGTGGTACCTCCTCATGCTTTTTTCAGAGTATACATACTAAAACAGTCCTACTAACAACGTTTTTTCTCAGAATTGTGAGTTTATATCTTACAATTGTGACTTTATAACACACAATTGTGACTTTATATCACGTAGTTCTGACTTTATAGCTCGCAATTGCGACTTTATATCACACAATTCTAACTTAATAACTTGCAATTGCAAGATGTCTGAAAAAAGTCCGAATTGTGAGATAAAAATGCACAATTACCTTTTTTATTGCTTGCATATGCTTTTGTATTTAATAATCTTTAGTAATAAATATTGTAGGCACACAATATATACTTTGCATGGTCAAAATGCATCCTTAAAATAAATAAATATAAGTATCAAAGTGATTTTAGCACTTGTTTTGAATAGTCCTTCAACTGCAATGTGTCTACTCAACCCCAAGGGGTCGTGAGGGGACCATTAAACATCATCGACAGGTATTTTAGTAAGAAGGCCAGTTTACAGTAGAGCTTCCTCTTAGGCTAAAAATGCTACAGTATAAAAACCTACATATCAACTAGAGTTGAGAAAAAGTTCAGATGATATCAAAAGGTCTTGTATTCCTGCATGTTATGCAAATTAACAATTCTATAAAAACTGGAGTGTATGAGCTACTTCGTAAAGCAATGATTAAATAATAAAAAGCACCTTTTATAGACTCAAAGCAGAATTTCTACAATCAAAGGCAAGTGTCTCTGTGAGAGGAACCTTGCAAAAGAGAACTGAGTATCATTCGCGCTCTGTCACTTCCTTTAGACAGCGAGTCTAGGGAGGTGGTCCAAACAAAGCAGTTCACAGACGCCTGTTAAACACATCAGTGACTGCATATACAGAGGGGTAAGTGTGTTATATTGCTTACAGTATGTATTCTATTCTTACCTGTAAAATGTTTGACTAATTATTTGTTTAAATTATTTTTCCCTTAATAATTAAAAATGTTTCTAATAATCTACTTAGCATAGCTAATTAACATTAATTATTTGAGCCTCAGTTAGGGCTATATAAATGCCTCATTCATTCATTCATGGCCTAAATTATCATGATACAATTTTTCATATCAGTCGATATCGATAATTAGCACAATAAATTGTTAAAAGGCAGATTGTTGCTCCTATGGGAAAGTTGTAGAAACCAGATCGTTAATTGATGTTTTAAACCACCCTTCATTGTCAGAACATGACAAACACTTCACGTTCTTCACATTTTCCAGTCATTTTTCCTTAACAAAATAAATATCTTAATAGAAAAAAATCATTTCTTTGTGTCTGCATGTTCAAACAGGTGATGTTTCAATTAATGAATGTGTTGCCTGACTTTGATGACACGTATCTTTGCACAATTTGCAGTGCAGGCTGCAATATTAATAATATTATATGTTTTATCTCTTAGAAATGCACATTTGACAGTAGTAGTAGCTTAAGTTAGGATGCAGAAATTAGTTTATTAACAAAAACAGTAACACCTGTAAAAGTTGTAACAACCTCATTTTTATATGGTAAAATTGAAATATTATGACTGAGTTTTATTAAAATTAACCATTGGTCTTCTAAAGTAGCATTCATTTAGATCACGATAACCCAGTTAAAACCACACATATAGCACATCACTATCATGGTAAAATCTATGGTATTTGTATGAAAAACAGTAGCCTAAATAAATTAATTTATTATAAATGCACGCGCTAGTGTAATCACAAAAATACTGTAATTACATTTCATTACTCCTTTAAAGGTACAATATGTAGGATTTTTGCAGTAAAATATCCAAAAACCACTAGGCCAATGTTATATATTTTGTTTAGTTGATCACTTACAATATCCCCAATGTTTCCAACTATTTGTAAATCGTGAGAAAATTGCGATTTTAACCAAGTAAATCGGACGTGTGAGCAGGGGTGAGGAGTCGCCAGTCAATGGCGTCATATCCGGGTTACCCTCGGTTTCCGCTCGTACTGCCATAGTAACCATGGCGACAGACGTGGACAACTGGGTTATGCTTAGCACGCTGTTGTTGTTTTGTTCAAACATTTTGGACCATGGCAAGCAGACTTTGAGACAAAGAGGACTAGAACGAAGATCAAAATCTTTCGAGATGCCGAGAGCTCCACGTCCGCGAGAGCTCTAACTTCGACTTGACAGAGACGCGAGTGTTGCATGTACTTTATTAGACAGGTGAGCAAATGTACATAAAACTAATCAATGTTATTTAGTTCAATATGATGAAATGTTAGAATATGATCTGTATGTTATTCTAATGTTGATCTAGCTTACTGCTAGCCTCATACAGCCAACAAACAACCTAACTAACAACATTCAACACACTCAAATGCAGTTTAGTGTGATAGTGTAACTGTTAGGGCAAGTGAAACAGCGCTGCGTTACCTCAAGTTTAATTTGTCTAATAAACTGACCTGTGTGAGTATTATTCAGCACTTGCGTGTAGTTCGGTAGAATGAAATGTCCTTATTCGGTAGAATGAAATGTCCCACGCGTTGCGTGTCGCGCTGGTATGCGTCTCTCATAAGCAATTGCAGCCTGCTTCATACCACAGTCATGTTAAAAACATCAATGTATTCACTCATCCATAAAAGATCCATCAGCTTGACGACAAGATCCATAATTCCACTTGATGCTTTGTGTCATCGATATACGCGCCTTTGTTATTGTAAGAGGTTAGTGACCCCTGGTGGCAAAAAATCCTACATATTGTACCTTTAATACAGGTCTACATTAATAATTTAATATTATCAATATTAACACATTTCTGTCACAATACCATGGTGCAGTTAGTGTTACTATTGTAAACCATGGTAAATGAAAGCGATTTGATGATTGAAAAGCTATTGAAAAGACTGTATCAGAAAATTGTATTGCGATAATTATCGTTATCGTTTTATCGCCTAGCCCTAGCCTTAGTTTGACCAAAACTGTAAAGCAAAAGCAATGAGATTTTAATTATAATAACTTAACAGCTCAAATATTGAGACAAACATATTTAATTGAATTATATAAAATTGAAACACCTATATTGTGGTTAAATGTGGATGCTGTGAAACACTGTAAAATTCATGCACACTTTACTGCTGGACCATGCCGATAACTATGAACTAATGACTATAGAATGTCTGCCAACATCACCCTGGTATGTTGACTAGAAAAAAAAGAAAAGCTATGGTGTTAGGGCAGTGGTTCTCAAACCTTTTTGGTCGCGCTCCCCTTTAAACCTTTAAAAAAATGTGGAATAGCTCTATAAAGGCAGAACCGCTAGCGAACCGCTATTCACGCACTTGAACACCGTTGCAACGACACCCTTCCCACACTTTGACAACCACTGTGTTAAGGGTGACAAAAAATGCTATTGTGAAAGTGGTTTATCAGCTTCTGCAATTGGGTAGAATATTTACAGGAATGCAAGTGACATTTAATGTTGCTTCTATAAATACAGAAGATATGAAGCACAGGTTTATCATTAGTGTCACCATTTTCACTCACTAGTATAAATAGTACAACTATTTAATTTTTCGCAATGATATAACTATTTAATTATTTTCTTCCTCAGCTGTTGGGAATCTCTTACTTTTTGCGAGAGCTCAATGGCAAACAGTTCACATGCTGAACACAACATTTCTTACCTATGCCAAACAACCACTACAAGTGTAGTTCTGCCCATTATCTACACCATCATGTCTCTCACTGGCCTGCCTGGGAATGCTATTTCTCTTTGGGTGTTCATGCACAAGATTGCCATCAAAACGTCCACCCATATCTACCTGATAAATCTAGGGATCTCAAACATGTTGCTCTGCCTCACCATGCCATTCCAGGCTGCATATTACTCGCTTGGAACCACATGGGACCAACGCAACACTATGTGCCAAATGGCAATAAATGGTCTTACTCCAGTGATCCATATCAACATCTGCATTGGCGTGATGATACTGAGCTGGGTGGCGCTCAGTCGCTTTGCCTCACTAATTCAACATTCGCATGCAGACCGCCCAAGCCGGTGGCTCAAAGTTCTACCCGGAGCCTTCTTTTGTCGAAAACGGCAAGCAAAACTGGCCTATGCACTGTGCCTAATCACCTGGGCTATTGTGGCCATAGCAGTCACATCCTTTGTGGTGCTGTACTCGATCAGGGCTGGAAGCGTGAAGGACGGTGACGGAGATGAAGTGTGTTACAGTGTAGCGGTGGAGGTTGGAGGGGAAGGATCTCACGTCTTCGCGCTAGTGGCTGTTTCATTGTTCTTCGTCTTCTTCCTGTTGGTCTTAAGCGCATACATGGCAGTGATCAGGCACATCTGGAGGTCCAAGAAAAGCGCGATCATCTCTGACAGGCAGAGAGTCTATGCAAGAGTGTTTCGGAATATCGTTGTCATTAAGGTCGTGCTGGTGGTCTGTCTCCTGCCGTATCACATCTATAAGGCCATCTTCGTTAACATTGTCAAAGAGCAGTCTTGGACTACATCACCCACAACAGATGCTTGCCATCCACTATCCATGTATGTGGAGGTAAAAAGCATCCTCCTCTGTTTAGCGTCTCTGCGATGTAGCACAGACCCCATCATGTACTTCCTGCTGGACAAGACGTTTCGTAGCCATGCGCTTAGCCTGATGAGATTACGCGCTAACGCAAACGACAGTCAGTCATCAAAGTCTAATGGGGGACAGATATCTCAGGCAACAACTGGGTGTCTTTAGACATTACTTGAGAGGATACTGTACGCTGACACAAAGGAGTCTCATTGTGAGCGATGTTCCCTAACAGCTGAACGATGTTTGGCCGCACACACCAATAAGAAAGCGAAAGTGAATGGGCATCTCTTCAACTGGATTACTTCCACATGTCCATTGTTCTTCAGTATTGACCTGAAGCTATGAGAATTCTTGTTTGGAATTACACAGTGCTGAGAAATGCTTTATAACAGAGGATATGTGGGCAGGCACACTGTGAAATCCAATGCAAATAAGGTGAAAAGTGACTACAAATCAGACAAGAATTCATCTGATGCTTCCGTTCCCACACCACTTTGAATTGCTTGAGTACCTTGTGTGGCTATAAAGAGATAGTTCAGCAGAAAAAATGAAAAATGCTGTCATCATTTACTTACCTTAAAGTCATTGTAAACCTGAATTACTTTTTTCCCTCTGTGGTAGACAAAAGAAGATATTTTGAAAAATGTCTGTTTTTTTTTGTTCATGTCCTGGTGACATATGCCAGACTTCTCCAATTATTTAGTCCGCTTAAACCCCATCCCTTTCTTAAAATTCTGTTGCTACTTCTGTTTCATCACAACTTAAAGAAAGTAAGTCAAACAAGTTTGGAAAGACATCGGGGTGAGTAAATGACAGCAGAATTTAGTTTTGAGTGTGTGTGTACTATCCCTTTAAGGTGATTTCTTGCACATTTACAGCATGCCACATTAACTTTTAATGACTGTACTCCCATTTCAGGTTGTTTTTCAAACATGTTGTTATAGATCTTGCCCATGCATGACAACTTGTATTTTTAATTTGTTACATTACATATACCTACTTTCCTGTTTCCATTTGCATGCTGGTTCTTGAGGTAAGTGTTATAAGCTTCCCATTAGTTGTGCAAACAGAGAATGTGTGCTTGCAAACAGTGCCTTTACATTTTTGCAGCACACTCATATGACTGTCATAGGTAATGATGCATGATGGACTAGGTATCCATTTATGTTTCTGATAGAAGCAGCATTAAAAACCATTACTTTATAGACAGTAAATATTAAAGTCTCCCAGGAGCTTCAATGTCTGCATCATTAATCCTATAAAAGAGCAAGATTATAGTTGCCTATTTTGCTTTTGTGCTGTCAATCCAATCTCAGCAAGATAGCTGGCTCCATTAACCATTTTGTCAGAATATAGTCCATCAAATTAAAGGGCAAATCTTAGGCAAACTGTATCTAGAACATCAGAAAGTTAAAAGGAAACCATTTGCTTGGTGTAGCACCATATCAATGGTACATATGCTAAACATACAGAGCAATTCATAAAGAGCAATGTTAATGTATAATCAAGAAAACCCCTGAAAACGTTGCAGTGTTCACAAGTCAGCAAATTCTCAGCAGAGACTGGTTTCTTGGCACTCTAAACTTCTGTTAAGTTCCTGTCATCAAGATCATATCTGTTCTAATAAGATCTCATTGCCCTGCAGCTAGAGATGGTAGGTTTGTATTTCTCTGAGGCATCACATTCTGGAGGTCTGATTTTTAGAGCCCGACCGGTATGGATTTTTGGGGGCCGATGCCGATACCGATATTAGGGAGTAAAAAAAAAGCACAATACCGATATATCGGCCGATATTATTTATGTGTATTTTATAATACAGTAGCAATATTATTTATGTGTATTATAGTACAGTACCAGTCAAAAGTTTGGACACACTTTCCTATTGGTGTGTACAAACTTTTGATGAGTACTGTATATATAATACACAGTATAAACAGAATAAATATATAAACGTTTTGCTCACTCAAATGTGGTGATCAAACACTTGTGTGACAAAGATATGTAATGGAGACAGAGTGAATGATAGAATGAGAATGATACATTTGAGCTGTAACCAAACTACTTTGCATTGCATGTTATATTATATTATATTCTAAATACTGTTGCATAATCTTCACTAACGACTTTGTCTTTTAATTTAGCCACGTTATATAAAACATAACTTGTATCAATAAATATATCAAAAGTGTCACTGACAAAACCTTATTATCTTCTATTTTTAGTCTTAATTCCTCTAATCTCTACCAGTGGAGGAAAAACTCAGATCTTTTTACTAAAGTAAAATTAATAATATCATAATGAAAACATTTTTAATTACATATGTACAGTACTTTTATACTATTTTAAATAAGTAGTAAGCAAAATGTACTAAACGTGAAACTAAAGTACTCTTAATGCAAAATGGCCCTATATAAAGTGTTCTAATTATATAAATGATTGGAATATTGCTTGATGTTGTAACGTAGCGTTATAGGCATATGAGCTTTAACACTGTGTCTACACCGGACGCGGCCGTTATTGCTCGCGTCGCAACAGCTGTTTACCCTAGACGCGAAAAAGCGCCCGTTACAAAGCAGAATGGGGCATCAGTTTACTGTCGGAGATTTGTCACTCGCGCCACGCATTTTAATCAATGTTTCATCAACCAATTGCCTGGATTTAATAAATAAGAAGTAAATATAGCAGACAATATAATCAGGACTTCTCAGCTGCGCGCTTGCAATAGTCACAAGCTCTCACAATATGTGACAGAGGCTGGTAGCAGAGAAATCAATTCTGTGAATTACACTGCGCAAATCAAAAGTAATAGGCTACTACCCACCGGATGAAGAAGGGTTGGCTCTCAACAGAACATAAAATATTCATTTTATTTTATTTTTCGTGTTCGCATTTATGAGGAAAAAACAATGTTACGGACGTGACAAGCTCTGAAAGCGGCACTAAAGTGCTTTAAAACTTTCACAGAGACCTCAAACAGAAAGCACAAAGCCTTTCATTAAAGTGAATTAAGTTTTGTATTAATTGTATCTTAATTTTAATCAATGTTTCATCAACCAATTGCCTAGATTTAATAAATAAGAAGTAAATATAGCAGACAATAGATAATCTCGACATGGAGGCGCTGGCGCGTGAACTGCAACTCGTCTCATAAATGAACCGAAACTCAGCGTATAGACTGGAGAAATATATCTATATTGAAATGTCTACTTTTAAACAGAACAATTCAAAACGAAAGACAGACTGCTCTCTGCTGTAATCCGTATGAAATGTGCATTTCTCTCTCGCGTGTTCACTGAAGATCGAGAGTCAGCGTCGTCAACTTATATAAAGCCAATACGTATATACTCTGTCTAAAGTTTGTCTTTGCATTTATTCTTAACACAGTTTAATTAAACCAGTGATTATTAAGTCTGATCAATACCCAATATTATAATTTATGTTGGAAAACATATTTTGAGCAGTAAAATAAATGCATTTCAGGGTATTTTGTTTAACCTTTAAATGTTGTGTCACAATTCTTAGGTTTCAGGTTTAAGGGTTTGTATTCAATAGCCTTTTTCATGTCTGCCAAATTCAAATGTTGAGAATAAAGTTGTTAAATAAACATGCATACAGTATTTCTTCAATATCAACCAAATTTACTGACTTTTATATCAGCTTTCATTAACAGAAGCACATCTGAAGCTTTATTCCTAAGAATCTGTGAGCATAGTTGATCTACATACTTTCATTTATAGGCTGTGAGTTGTGACTGCGCTGCATTTGGATCTTAAGCAACTGATCATCATAACCCTATATTAGTTTCACGTTTAATTCCCTCCTATTGACAGCTGCAGGCTGTTTATAAGAAAAGAGAACATTCCTTTAGAAGCAGTTTACGGCAATGTGTAATTTTAGGATTTTAAATGACACATCTTTAAAATCACAGGGGGGAGGCTACAAAAGTGTGAAAATCGTAAAGACCTCAGTGTGTAAAAAAAGGGGTTTACTAGTCATCTGAAGCACTGATGGTGCGTTCACGTGCTATGGAAAATATGATATTTTTCCACTTGTGAACTGGTATTTACCAGTGTGTTGCGTTCAAGTGCTTTTGTTGTCGTAATGTGGTAAAAAGATGGAGATCCAGACCTTTTATTTAGCTAAAACTATTTTAGATTGCTTAAGTCATCTGCTACAGCAAGAAAATGATTTATCAAAACTCAAAAGGTAAATAATATGCTGTATATTTTCTAGATCATGAATAGTACATATTTTTACCATTCACGACTCTCGCGTTGCTCTCCGCCATTTTGAAAAGGTCAAAGGTTATCTCATCTCGGCAACTCGTGCATCAAAATATTCTACGAGCTGCCCAGTGGAAAATACCACATGAGGGGGTGTTCATGTGCATTTTCCACGTCGGCTTTTGGTATTTACCATAATTACCATAGCACGTGAACGCACCATAAGACACCACTGAGCTTACCTTCACATCCCGGTGAATGATGTTGTTGTCATGGCAATACCGTAATGCCTCTAGGATCTGTCTCATGTAGTGACTAAAGGAATAGAGAAGAGAGGAGGGTGGGAAAGAGAGAAACCCATTTTAATCTGAATGGAAAGAAAGTGGGAACTAGGTTTGGAACTATATGATGGTACTATATGAGTAAATGATGACACAATTTTCTTTTTGGGGGGAACTATCCTTTTTAACACAGAGAACACAGTCTAAAACTTTAAGGAGAGCACAGGAACAGGAAATGGATGAAACTGTCCTTAGAGCTGTTTACCTGGCAACTGCCTCACTGTAAACAAAACCAGCGTCTGCTCTCTTCACAATCTCAAAGCAGAGATCTGCTCCATCCATACTGAAAGACAGAACAAGACAAGAAACTATATATCAGCAATATAAAGTCAAATACTGGCACTATCAGTTCTAAGGTTCATTTATGATTTAACTTTACAGGAAATAAATACAAATCTTTAAGATACTTGTGAAAAACCAATTGTGTCTGTGACCCCGCCTACACTGAAATGTAATTTGCCCCAAATCCCACCATAGATCTATACATTAAACATCAAGGTTGATTTAAAAAACTTTTGCAACTTTGAGGGCCAGATGTACGTACATTTGCGAACGCAGCATTAATAGCGCCATGGCCAAGACGCAGAAAGCGCTTGATGTGAAGTTCATCAGGTAATCAGCGCCTGTCCCCAGCCACTATACCGTAAATTGCGAGTATTTAAACGCGCAATTGAATGGTCCTCCTCCTCTCACTGCTGATGCTATGACTGTATGAAATTATCCTGATGCCAATAATTGTAATGTAGCAAGGAGTTTAACAACTGCTGGAATGGAATGTGAACGCTGAGTCGGAGATTCGATGTCATCTTTGATTTATTCCAGTAATCTGTAACGCTTAATGATTTAGTTT